TAATAGCTACATCTTGGAAACAGCCCAAATGCCCATTAACTGATGAATGGATAAAGAAGATGTGTTTTTAAAAATACAATGAAGTACTACTCTGCCATAAAGAAGGATAAACTTGAGATAATTTCTAGGTAAGTAGATGTTCCTTGAGCCCATACTCTTAAGTGAAATAAATTGGACACAAGTTTAAATATTGCTTTGGTGTGAGAAACTGAAACAGTAAATAAGGACCAAAATGTATAATTGTTATTGTGAAAAAGGAAGAAAATGTTGAAATTGGAAGGGGCTTGGGCGGGGGGAAGGAAGGAAAGGCAAAGAAAAGAAAAGAATAGAAGGAAAAATGGAAACAAAGCTTTTTCAAATAAGGAGGGGAAGAGAGGTTGAAGGGAGGAGAGGGGAAAGGGGGAAAAAAGCAAGATATGTCCTGTACAGGTACAAATTCCCTGTGATGAATGTCATTATGTGTATATAAAATGTACCAATAAAATTAATTTTAAAAAAGTTAATGCTAGAAGGAGGTGGGGCACAGGGGATGTGGCCTGGAGGGGTTTATCTTCCACCCTCCTCCCTTGATCATCTCTGCTTCCTGTTCACCACGCCATGAGCAAGCCTCTTCTGCGATGCCCCTCCATCGTGCTGCCCTGCCTTGTAGCCAGCCGACAATGGACTGAAACCTCTGCAAACTGTAAGCCAGTTTTCTCTTTTGTCTTTAGAATTGTGGTATTATGTCTCAGGGGTGAGAAAATAATTTCTTTTAGTCACTAATTACTCCCAAGAATAATTGTTGTGCCTGGATGTATGAGCTAATTGCATTTTCCCATTTGTTCATCAGACTTTCTATCTTGATTGTCTCCTATATATATGTGTTAGCAGCATAGGTACAGTGAGGAGAAGTTGGTCCTCCCAGGCTGGTGGGGAGACTTAGAAGCAAACCCACAAGTATAATCCAGTGAATTGATAGAGGGGTGTTCAGGTTTCCTAGCAGCCCAGGGAAAGGGAGGAGACACTGAGCTGACCCTTGAAAGGGTGGCTGGACATAAAGAAGACACAGGCACCAGCACATGCAAAATCTGGAGGGGTCAGAAAATACAGTGCTTTCAGGAGATCCTAGAAATCAGAGCATTCTCCCAGCATCAAACTTATGTGTACTCTGATTTCAAACAGTGTGTCTTTCCTGTGACTCTACAGTGGGAATAGACTAGACATCGTGAAGCCACTCAGTCCTTTTAAGCAGCCTGGTCAGCTGGTGGGGTCTCCGCAAGTCCTTGCTGGCCCTAGTGGTACATCAGACTGCAGCCTTGGGCCTGTGGATCAAGGATCACGAACCAAACAAGCCAGCCTAACCAGCCGTGTCCGAAAGGATTCCCATAGGAGAAGGGCAGCTGCAGATAACCCAATAAAATTTCAGTCAGGTAAGACAATGAGATGGTTATGAAACTTCACAGTTCAGGTAGAAATGATGGCCTGCAGCGGCTGCTCCCTGGCTGTTCTGTGTCTGACCTTCCCGTTTTCCTAATAAATCTGCCTGAGCTTCGCTGCCTCCTCAGGTATCAAGAGGGGAGTTTGTCTGGAGACCCTTTGGGAGCTGGTGTCAAATGCTCAACAAATGTTCTGTTAAGTTAGGTCTGCAGCGAGCTGGAAAGGTGAAGATTAAAGGGATAAAATATGCTCCATGCAGCGGTGGAAAGCACTAGCCAGCTGGGACTCTGCTGTCATTGAAGGTGACCACAGGGTCGGCTGATAAACGATAACAATTTTCTGTAACACATAGCCTTTTAATCTTGCCAACAGCCCGAGGAGAAACGTTAGACATGGTGACTGGAGTGGTTTTTACCATGTCATTTGGGCCCCAAAGGTAGTTTTTAGATTTCATGGATAGTAAATCCAGCTATTGCTGGAAGAATGACTATGCAGAGAGGACCCCTGTTGGTTAGGACCCCTGTTGGTCAGGGGCTTAATACACAATGAAAATTCACTTCATCTGGCTTAAAGAAATGAGGAGATTTTTATTAGGGGAAGACCACCTAACTAGAGGAACCCGAGAGAACAGACAAAGCGACTCTTCCCAGGACCCGGTACCAGATCTGAAGAGGCATCAGCAACCAAGAAGGCCCCTGCCTCAGCTCTCCCACCTTTTTGTGGTCTGTGACCTCCCCTCCCCACTCATTGTGTTCCTTGTCCCTCTAAGCAGTTGCCTTTCTCCAACTCTCCTGGGATTCACATGCTCAGATTTAGGCTCTGGCAACGACTGACCTGCAACTCTTGGTCCTCCTTAAAGGTTCCCAGGAAAAGATGCTACAGTTGGCCTCAAGTGGCTGGGTTTCCACACTTAACTCATACCTTGGTCCCAAAGAGATAAGTAGGGATCTTAGAGCTTCGGAGTTAGGGAGGCACCCAACTCTTGGGGGTTACTAGACTTGGAGGAGTTCTTGGCAGATAGCTATAAGGGTCTCTGTGATGCATTACAAGTGTGCATTCTCTTGGGGCACGGTCGCTTTGTGCTGCAGGCTGGGAATTTGCATGTAGGGCTGCACACGGTGTTCTGCTTTGCTGGAGGTTTGCTTTGTGTTCTCACTGGGTACTGTTGAAGAGATGGGTGCCTGCTACATATTCCTGTTCTTACAGCTTGGAAGTCTCAGAAGGGCACTGATCAGGGCTGCAGTATCCAGTTTAAACAAGGAGATTTGTAGTGTATCACAGCTCATGATTATGTATTTGAGTCATCTGGGAAAACAAATGGGTGCTCCCTTGACTGTCCTTGAGTTTGTACCACTTCTCCACTGTTTTTTCAAGGCTCTCTACCATTCGTCTTGCCTCTTTATCAACATTAGTGTCGCTTGATTCCAAATAGCAGAATTTTTACAGTCTTGCTTTGGTATCTGCCCAGTGCTCTTTCCCATACTTTAGATTTCATTTCCTTCTGTGTCTCTAACACATAATATTAAAAATCAAGTTCAAGAGCCATGTCTACTAGTTATTTTTCCCTAATATTCCAGTGCTTACTTCTTTATTTTAGAATTCATTCCGTAATCATTCACTCAATAAGTTTTTTGCTAAGCCCAGTGTCAGCCAGTTACACTGGTTTTCTAGGGCTGCTGTTATAACAAAGGACCACAGATTGGGTGCTTAAACACCAGAAATGTATTTCCTTGTGTACTGGAAGTACACAAGAAGTCCGAGATCAATGTGTCAGCAAGTTTGATTTCTCCTAAGACCTCTTTCCTTGGCTTGCAGATTCGTTGGTTCCTTCTCTTTGTCTTTTTACTCTGTACACATATTCCCCGTGTTCCTTTGTTTGTCTGAACTTTTCTTTAAAACCACCAATCAGACTGCGTTCAATCCCTGGTACAAAAAAAAAAACCTACTGGGCGTGGCTGCATACACCAGTAATCCCAGCACTCCCCACACTCCGGAGGCTTAGGCAGGAGGATCGCTGTGAGTTCGAGACCAGCCTGGGCTACATAGTGAGTTCTAGGTCAGTCTCAACTACATAGTGAGACCCTGTCTCAAAAAAAAAAAAAAAAAGAAAAAAAGAAAGAATGAAATTTTTTGTACCGGGGATTGAACTCAGGCCCTTGTGCTTGTGAGGCAGGCGCTGGAACCACTGAGCTAAATCCCTGGCCCCTGAGATCCTGATTTCAGTGCTTACACATCTTCCTTTGTTTTAAGAACTTTTTGTGAGGGATAGGCAGCATGCACACTTTGCTTTTTCTTATCCTCACTTGGAGAGATCCTGCTTCCGCTCTTTTCGTGTTCTCTCTTCACAGTCTGCAGTGTAGGGCTTGGCATATAGAAGGTGTTCAAGAAATAAATCAAGTAGGTATAATGAGAAGGGAAATTAGTGGAAGCATTCTCAGTTGTCTGAACTAGGGCCTGACACGGTCTTGCGTGCTTCTCCCGGAGGCGCTGCAAGGTGAGGACTTGTGGTGGTGTGATGCCACCTAGTGCTTTCTTTATTGAAGCAGCACAGGGGAGTAGGGTGGTGATTGAAAAATTGAAAAGGAAGCGTTTTGTTTCTTTCACAGCATAAATTGCAGTATCCAACCCTTCATCTGTTCTCTTATGCATGTTGGTGTCCAACTGTACTCCATTACTTTGAGTTGAACACAGCACACGCCTTTCCATCCCCTTGTAGTTCCCCCAGTGCCTGTGTTGGGATCTCTGAGTTCCCACAGTGCTTTCTGTGACACGGTATGGATTAGATACTAACATATTGTGTTCGGATTCACTGTGGACGTTCCTTGCTGTCTTTCCCCCATTGCTGCACTGTGACTGTAAAGGTTTGCGACCCTGCCTGGGCATATATTTTAGAGGAATCTGCACATGGAGAACCGGAAGGAGCCTTTTAGCTAATGCTTGGTTAATGGAAATGAAATGTGGTGGATTTTTCATTTGAAATGCTATGTAGTAATGAAAAACAATGAACTAGGATTACAAAGACAGACCCTAAAAAGAATGGTTGGTATGAAAAAAGTAGAACATAATGCGATCTCTAAAGTCAAATACCATTATCTACTTTTTAAATACTCTGATAAACATGCTATATACAGTTTTCAATAATACAAATCCAAGCATAGTAGCCTGAATGTCCACGGGACCGAGGATGAAGCTGTGAGAAAAGCGATGGATATGAAAAGAAAAAAGCAAAGCCAGAGAGGGGTCGTGCACATTTTATGAAGTAATTTAATTACTTCAACTCTGCCTGAAGTCCAGACAAAGCCCTTCTCTTCCACACCTGTAACTTCTGCAAACCCCTGGGGACCCTTCCCCGCCCTTCAGGAGTCCTGCCCTATTATTTGCATATTTCTCTGAGGACACCAACCAGGTGGCGGCCCCTCCCCTTTGGAACGCTGCTGAGCCCCCCCCCCCCCCC